TGTTTCCCCTTTGCTTCCCAGCTGCTCAGAATTAGCCATTACCACATTATTGTAGCAATGCATGCAATGTCTATTATACTGGCATGTTTGTCAGGTAATAAGAAGTGCAGGCAGATGTGTAAGGAGCTCAACAGTCACTGGCTATCCTGGCTCGTCTGAGGGTTTGCTGTTGAGAACTTTGTGCACAGTGTATGTAGGCCTACTGTAGGTACTGCTGTATGTATTTCAGCTAGCTTTACCCCAAGCTTAAACAATTGCAGTCTAATACAACAATAGTGAAACAAGCGCTCTCTGCATGAAGGTTGTAATGTTCAAGTTTTGTTGCGTCAAAGAGGCATTGCTTCGACTGTATGGTCTGTTTGGGAGAATGCCGTCTGTGCCGCTGTTGAACTGGATCGCGTTATGTTGACAGGTGTTCCTATTATTTTGTCCACCCCGTTAAAATCAATGAGGTTGGGCTAAAAAACAGAAACATGAGGAGCAGCAGGCAGAGAGACAGTGAAACGTATAAGGTTGTAATGTCCGTGTTGTGCGTGTGCATGAATGTTACTGGTAGTACAGCTTTGAAAGAGCTGTTGTGAAGCGGCTGATGCCAATTAACTGATACAAGCATCACTTCAGCGCTCTGCCTGAAGTCAGACTCTGCTTCATTTGTCCAGTTGTGCCCAAAAGAGAGGTGCTATGTCTCAATTTGCAGACTTCCATACTCGCGCTTGCTATTTAGACTGCATTCACATGGACAAGAAAGGCAACACACAATGCACTGCAAGTACCTGGAGGGTGCACTCAATACGGTGAAAACATTTAGTGTAAAATACTTCAGCTTCAGCAGTTGCCGTCTTGGCTATGTAGCAGAAGGGGACGGGCCACCAACATATTTTCAGTTGCGGCCTAATTTCCATGTTACATTACTTGTACTGCCTGAAGTATCTGATTTGAGACACAGCAATGATCTAGTGCATCATGCTAACATTTAGCATGCACAAGTAGGACAGCCCAGAGAGAGGTCAGGGAGGCAGGCAGACAGACGTTGGCTGTGATTGTAGGTTCGTCTCTCCACCTTTTGACTGTTGCCAAACCACAAGACCTCTGCTGTGGTTGGATGACACGTCACACAACTCAACCTTTTTTTTTTTTTTTTTTATTGACTTATTGCAGAAGTGACAAAACGAAACCTTGTAGAGGGTCAAAAGCTACATGGTGAGTGTGTATGTGTATATATAAAATATAAAGCAACTCTGTGTACGTTTTGTTGCGTGTGTTCTGCACTGGATGAGTCATACAAACACTCTATAATTTCAGTTTGGTTCTGAAGCAGAAGGTTTGACAAGTGAAATTTAATGTATTTGACTACAAAGTTTTAACTAAAAAAAAAAAAAAAAAATCACCATCACCTCGGTAGGGGAGGAAAAAAGAGAATTATGGCAATACCTGTGGGAGTAACCATTAAGTAGAAAGTTCCTGAGAGTTGGTGCGCTCCTGCAGATTTCTCAGTGAAAGTTTTTTGCTAATGGAGTTGCTGAAGTCCCCCCCCAAAGAGGAGGAAAGAGGCTCAAATGAGGCAGTAGAATGACAAGGCAATAGACTAGAAAATATGAGAAGGGGGGGGGGGGGATAGACTCAAGCTGATGTGTTTGTGTCGCTGTGGTTGCCCAGCAGAAATCTTGGTGGGTAAGTGCATTTTAACTCCCCCAATTCATAAAAAAGTAGACACAGCCTGTCTCCTACCATTAAGCACCTCTCTGGATCAAACACACTTCCTTAGATGTGTGTTTTAGTGTTGCTCAGTTCATACAGGGCCCAGGAATGTTTTAAAATTAAAACCTATTCAGTCACAAAGCAGTTAACTGGTTTTTCCCCTACTTTTAAAGGAAGTCGTTGTTACATTTGTACAAACAGATGAATTCTGAGCCATCACATTTTTCATCAGTCATTGTGACAGATATTGTGGAGTAAACGGACCGGGGTTTGACAGGTGGGATGACTGTGAGTGTGTTATCAAGGACTGAGGTAATAACTGAAGACAGGCAAGAAAAAGCACAAAGATAACTTTAACACAGACTGTCCTCCCTGTAAATAAACCAAGCCAATAGGTCGTCTGTGCAGCAGGTTATGACCCATAGTTACGTTTTGTTGCTAGGCAACATCTAGTGGCGGTAGTAATTAACGACAGGAGCAAAGAGAAAAGTGCGGCGACGTAGAATACAGAGCGACATGGTCAGCGTTAGGAGGAAGTTAGCCGTTTGATTCCTGTGTGAAACTAGCAGTTTATGTTGTTTCTATTATTCATGACCATTTGACAAAGTTAACCACGTAGTTTATTATTGTAACCATGACGACAAAGCCCATCTAACCATCTGTACCACAAAACTCACCACTTATTGCCATTAGTTACAGCTTGACATTCTAGTTTTGTGTGAATAATACAACACAATCAAGTCTTTATTCATCAGTGGAATAATCACACAAGATCATCCACCAAGCCAGCATCATTATCTTTTGCCCAAAATCTTTAAATACTGGAAGGATGTTAAATGACAGTTTGCTGATGCCACTCACTGTTTTTCTGAAGCAACATTAAAAACTACCACTGAGGCATCTCTATTAAAAGCTACAGGACAGAGATAATGTATAGCATATTTAAAAACCATCCACTCTACAAAGCCTGACAAGATGATTCATTACATTACAGATAATTGCTGACTCATATGTTAATGATGCATTGAAACATGTAACATTCCTTATTAACCTTTCCTCCTCTGCGAGTTCACAAAGCTGTCGGCAACCCGGAGGCTTAATGACACATTCTGTACATTTTTTTTTTTTTTTTTTTTTAATTAGCATCAGCTAAATGGAGTTTAGCACATTGTGAAGGTTAAAAAGTCAAGCTAATGTAAATTTTAAGGTTGAAAAGTCAATATGAGAATAGGAAGATTTAAGTTTAAAGAAGACCAAAAAAAATCAAGATAATGTTAAGTTTTAGGGTAAATGGTAGGATTCACAAGCCTTAGTAATTTACTGTTTTTAATATGACCACATTCTACAAATACATGTGAAGTGTATAAACATCACTAGAAACACATATTGTGTTTATTTGGTCTAAGTCTAAAGCATGGGAGCAGCTGGTGGAGCAAGGTTTTGCTATTTCTGCTGTATATTTTGGGGGGGGGGGTATTCTGCACAACATCGAGGCCAAAATAGAGAGGATGATAGAGGGACTGTCAGTCTACAACCAGATATATGGTTTCAAATATCTCTGCACTAACTCCAACACCCCAAAGCATTTACTCTCAGCCAGAGGTTTGCGGCTGCCATTTTGAGAGAGGAATAGCTGGTGTTGCTCCGGCTCACAGGATGTCTCCTCTGCTGGATGATGATACATTATAGAGACTATAGAAGGGCACTTGAAGAAATGAGACTTCAAAGGAGCAACTGAGATAGAAGCTGCCCAATCAGATCTCACTTTAGCAGGATAATAGTATTCAGATCCCTAGAGGCAGAAACGAGGATGTGTCATAAATTATGAATTTCCATGAGAACAGATATGGATGACGGTGTCATGCAATAATTGGCGCAGCGCTTAGCTCCAAGTGAAGCTGGCTGGTGGCTGAGTGATGTATGCTGCAGGCACCTGGCTGGGAAAACACACCGAGGTGATTCGCAAAGTCGGCGTGACACAAAGAGGCGCCCCCAATTATCATGTTGACCCAAGGCTCTATGATGGGACAGCCTCATTTCATGACCTGCAGGGCAGCAACATGTTGGGAGCGGCAGGGGGTTCAAGGTTAAGAGATCCTTCTTATTGGAGCTGAATCCAAATGTTTGAATGATAAAAATGCAGCCGTTTTATCAGGCTAACCTGAAGTGGCGGTGCAACACTGAAAACTGGCTCATCCCTATCAATATATACATCATAGATTTTATCCATTTGAGATGTCTAGATGGTCGACTAAAATGAAATTCAGGCACAAGCACAGTGCATTTGAGTGATGTCAGGATAAACAGTTTTCTGCTTTTAATTTAAAAGAAAAAGAAAAAAAAAAAAAAGCCTTATCCTGGATGGTGGGTCCAGGCTTGGGGCATGGCTTAAGTCAGTGACTGCTTTGTTGTGACATCACAAGGTTACGGAAGTCCTTACGGCTGGTTTTAAGTCTGTTTCTGAATACAGGCTGTGTGCATTTCTCTGTGGACTGAGGCTTTGATACTTTCACAGTATTAATACAGAACCTAGACCTGCTTTATAATCAAAAAAGACACGGAAATCTACATTTATGCAATTTGGGACCTTTTTAAGTGTGGAACTGAAGGAGGGAGGTGATTAGCCTAGCTTAGCATAAAGAGTAATAGTAGAGGGAAACGGCTAGCCTGACTCTCAGAAATTTCAACACTTCTAAATCTCACCATTTTAACATATTGCATCTCATTTGTTAATGTATGCAAGCAGATATGTTGCAGCTGGTGAAACTACAGCTTGTGGTTTTACACTGCTGAATATGGAAACAAACAAGATTCCTTCAACATGAATTCAGCCAATCACTGCGTTATATGCAAGAGCTTGCAGTGTTTGGATTTAATTCATTCAATATTTGGAAGATTTTGGAAAATCATTACTCAAATTAAATACAAGCTGTAATTTTTAGTAATTGCTGCACCATCCCACATTTGGCAACCCGATTCAGAACAGCTCTTTCATGCCCCGATAAATCCCACCTGCAATCATAACAAATATGTCAGGTCAATTTCTTTGTAATGCATCTAAACAATTCTTCCAAAAATAACAGTAACCCTAAGAGAATGAATCCAAGCCTGGACATCAGCCAGCGTTTGGACATGAAAGCATTAGAGGCCACACAGACGTCTAAAATCGTTGCCATTTCTCATCTTCTCCTGCTCTCTGCCTCTGCTCATTGTTTTCCTGCAGGTGAAAGAGTGAACAGATGAGGTGGAGGACTTCTTCCTCTGTGCACACATAGACGTCACCTTGCAACGCTCATCCGTGGGAGGAGGAGAAAGGATTGTTTGTTGCCCGCAGGAGGAATTCAAGGTCACTACACAGTGCGCTCTCACATCTACACACACACACACACACACACACACACACACACACACACACACACACACACAGAGGGAGGCCTGAGAACAAGTAAAGTAGATGGAGAGAGGGAGTCAACTGACTGGGTATGATTTTAAGCATGATCTCCATCACAGTTGTGAACAAATAATCGGAGAGTAAGAGAAGAAGCTGATAAATATCTAATGGAGAATAATAGATGTAAAAAAATAAAATAAATCAAAATCATGGTTCAGATGAAAGAAGAGTTCTTTGTCTCCTCCTTTCCTTCCTTTTCTTCTTTTTTCTTTTCCTGACTTTGCTTCCTCCGTCCTTCCTTCTGTCATTTATCCCCTTTTTTTTCTTTTTAGAAAAAAAAACAACAAAATCTTCATATATCCAAAGAAAATCACTAATAAACACTTCCAAACAAACGTTGGGCTGTCCAAGGTTTTTTTTTTTTTTCCCTGTGAAGTCCACACACTGTGAAGAATTTGGAATTTAATTGCTTCCCCACAGATTGCTGCCTCACTGAGAAACTGGGTTAATTGCATAAGAAGAGAGAGCCACTTGTGACCTTCATTGAAAGCTGCCAATTACAGTTACTGCAGTTTGCACACTGCAGTGTTGCAGGTTATTTATCCACAGATATATGTAGGGTCGGGGGGGTGGGGGGGGAGGTGGGGTGATAGCCTGCATGTCTTTCTGTTTTCTATGAATGTTGACATCAGTTTCAAAAAGCTTTTAAAGTGTCAGTCCTGCAAAGCTGTCCTGACGGGATCATGTTTACTGTGTAATTCCACAGCCTACATGTGTCAGCGTCAGGGCAGCAGACGTATGGAGCTGTGCAGTGTTGTGATTGCACCACAGGTTGATTTAGATTTATTGAAGTTGCTTTAATGTGAAGAGTGAATGGAATTCAAGAAATGTAAAATGTCCAAGATGTTAACAGCATCGAAATTTCTGTGCATACTACTCTACCCGTTCCTTCTCTCCTTCCCTCTTTCCTTATTTCAAGAGCAGTTAGCCAGGTGCTGGTAGACAGGAGAGATTCAGCTCAGACGCATCAGAAAAGACTCACTCCAGCCTTCCTCTCCTTTCTCTTGTCTTTTATTCTTTTCTTCTTTCCTCTGTTATTTCCTCCCTTCCATCTTTCCATCTTTTTGTTCCTTCTTTCCTTCCTCTCATTGCCCCATCCTTCCTTCTTTCCTTCTCTCCTTCCTACTGTCCAAACCGTCTTTTCTTCCTCCCTCCTGTTTTTGTTCCTTCCTTCCTTCCTTCCTTCCTTTGAGTCTTTTTTTTTCTCACACCTTCCCTCCATTTTTTGTTCCTTCCCGTCATCCTCGTGACTAGTGCCTTCCTTGCTTCTCTACATCTTTTGTTCCTTCCTTCCTCCTTTCTTTCCTTCCTACATCCTCTCCTTTCTCTTGTCTTTTCCTTCCTTCCTTTGAGTCTTTTTTTTTTCTCACACCTTCCCTCCATTTTTTGTTCCTTCCCGTCATCCTCGTGACTGTAGTGCCTTCCTTGCTTCTCTCCATCTTTTTTTCCTTCCTTCCTCCTTTCTTTCCTTCCTACATCCTCTCCTTTCTCTTGTCTTTTCCTTCCTTCCCTTTCTTTCATTCTTTCCTCTGCCATTCTTCTCTCTTGTCTTTTGTTCCTTCCTTCCTTTTCTTCCCTCCATCATCCCTTTCTTCCTTTACCATCCTTCCTTCCGTCCTCCCACCTGTCTTGTTTGTTGCTTCATCCCATTCTCCCTTCCTTCTGGTCGACCGATTTCCTCATGATTTTCCTCATTTCATTGTGCTTCCTGGTGAATGTGAACGCCTCACAGAGAGCCAATGATAGCTGGAGATGAGGTTAGGGCTGTGACATTCCCCTCAGGACCGATGCCTGGCACCGAGTCCTTGTAGAATATCCCACCAAATTATGTCACTAGTTAAGGATGATAATAATACCTGTTTTGTAGGTTGAGAATCCCTGGGCACTGAAGGACAATCAGGGTCAGCTGACGATACAGACAGACTGTAAATTTCTCTCTTTTTTTTTTTTTTTATTCATTCAAATATTTTGAGTGCAATGACTCAGAGGATTTGATATGATTTTATAATGCTTACTCATCTTCCTGAACAGCCCCAACAGTTTACAGACATCTTTGTTTTCCATTCTAAACTGATCCTTGCTTATGCACTGAAGTCCTCACAGTGGACAGGAGTATTGAGTAACACCAGATGGGGAAACGACATAAGTCATGTGAAAAATTAAGTACCCCATGGGAATTGAGTTCAACACATCTGAACAAGCAAACATTTTTATACTCTTTGAAACAGTTCTTGTTAATAGAGGCGATATATTGAAATAAATAATTCAACCGTAAGGAAAATCATCAACACTGGTGTAAATTTTAAAACGACTGCAAAAACTAGCAGCCCCAGCAAATTCAGCCCAAGAGCAGATCATATGATGCAAAACCAGGAACCCCCACAATTTAATCACAGAATCTGAATGCGTCTACAATCAGGAAGAGATTGCACAAATTTGACCTGCATGATTGGCATGCCAGGAAAAAGTCCTTGCTGACCAAAAAGAACATTAGAGCAAGACAGTTTGCAAATGAACATACAGGCAAAGAATCAGGCTTACTGGTAGAATGTGCTCTGGACAGACGAATCAGAGTTCTTGGGCTACAGTAACAGCAGACATGTTGAGAAGAACCTCATGCCAACTGTGAAGCATGGTGGTTTGGGGCTGCTTCACTGCCTTAGGGACTGGGCAGCTTGAAGTCATTGATTCAACCATGAATTCTGCCTCTTATCAAAGAGTGCTTGAAGATAAATGTGAGGCCATCTGTCCCAAAGTTGGAAGTTAAACCGGGAATGGACCTTTTCAACAGGATAATGATCCTAAGCACACCAGTAAATTCGCCAAGGATTGGCTCAAAAAGAAGAAATGGTGGGTTATGGAAGGGCTTAGCCAAAGCCCAGATCTGAATCCCAATGAAATGTAGTGGAGGAGATGGAAACAAGGAGTGCATGCAAGAAAACACTCAAACATCTTGCAACTGGAGGAATTCTGCAAATCAAAGACTGGTGGACAGTTATAGAAAGTGATTTCAGCCTCACCGCCTACCATGCAATCATAGAGAAAGTAAGAACAGATTAGACAAAATTACTTGTAGAATATCTTTATCCCTCATGCTACATTCATATTGTTGCTGCTTAAATTTTCCTCTAGCTTGTTTTCATATTATAACTTGGCCCTGTTCCTGTCTGCTCTGACCTGTCCTCTCTTTTCTGCCACATTACCTTTTAAGAAAGGCTCTGTTTCTTCTTTCCAGCACATTTTCAGGGATTTGGTAACCCATGGCTTGTTGTTAGGGCATACTTTATCATGCTTCTTAAGAATTACAGTGTCCTTGCAAAATGTGATACAGCTGCACTGTCAGAAAGTTCATCAGTATCTGAGACAGAGTCCTTAAAACACAGACCAAGCCAAAGCATCCCTGTAATGTCATAGTAACATATTTTGTGTTGTAGCTACTCAAAGCTATTTGTAAGTTTTGCTAGTGCTACACAGCCAAACATTAACAATAACAGCTGTTACCACTCTGGAAGAAAAGTTGCAAGTTCAGCATCAAACTTCATTCCGCTCTCAGTCTCTATTTAGCAAGTTATCACGCTAAACATCTTGCTCAGGGCCGTCTTTTCACTTTCCGATAGTGACACATCAAATTTGCCCTGAAGACGCAGCACTGCTCAGAGGACGCATTATAAGCCCTTGTCTAGCAAACGCAACAATGGCCAAAGCTTTTTGTCGAGCAACAATCGCCACCACCACCTCCTCCCAGCAAGAAACCACATTTGGCGGTAGAGAAAACTTACAAAGGGCCCCTCTTGCTAGTATATTTTGTACAATAGCATATCTGCCTGACTTTTACTGAGTCTGCTGCCTTTCTCTGTGCGTCCTCTCCAGAGAGTCTCCAAATAACAGTGAGATTTATTCTGCATTTGGCGGTCAAACGTGTGCTTGTAATGCACCAGTCCAAGTTGAACACTTTTTAAATGAATATTCATGACACACCCGGAGCTGCTGTGAGGGATTGATGAGAAAATGTTACTTTTTAAAAAAGAAAAAACAGCACGGAGATTTGTGTTAGGGATAAATTATTATTCTTAAATAAAGACAAACTGAGTTTAGCAAAATTTGTGAGCAATTAGTGAATATCAGTAATATCGCTTAGTCCTTGAGGTAATATCTAATTCTCCTGCTGTTTTCTGTCTCTCCAAAATCAGGCTCCTCGCCTTAAGGAGGACAATATTACATCCATCACATTAAACACAGACTAATTGATATGCCATATAAAGATCCTCCTACACTGCCCCCCCCTCACTCCATCCTCCATAATATGAATTTTAATAATAGCCAATGGAATATTGATGTGATCTCAATATGTCACTCCTCAACATATTGAGTAAGTGAAATGTGGCTCTCGGTGCACTGATTGCATTACATTGTAATGAGCCTGGGCTATTTGATTAGGTGGTTGTTTCAACTTTTTAACTCAACTTCAAATTTCCACTTTTGACTTTGTAGAATACGGATTGGCAAAGACTGCGTCTTGACATTTGTTTTTGAATTATAGACTATTCAACATAAGAGAAATCTGCTTGGCATCTGATCATATCACTGTGCTGTGAGAAAGAAGTGAGTGCAGTTGATTTCCAGTTAAGAGGAAGCATTTTTCAGGGAGTATGTTTTTAATGCAATTTAGTGGGTTTTAGAATGAGCTCAGATGTTGCATGAGGGTAGCTGTATTACAGTGGATTAAAGCTCTGACGACACAGCCTCTCATTTGCTTTGCTTCTGAAATACAAAAGTACAAAACCAACATTTCATTCAACTTCCGCATACGATACCTGTGCATGGCAACTTAGTTAAGTGCTGTTAAGGTGGGGAATGATCATGGTTTTGGCAAATAGAAAGCCCACAAGCTAGGC